CCACTCCTTGAACTAATGACAATGGCCAAAGAATGTGAGATACTCTGCCTGTCCCAGTTTGGTTAGATCTCCCTGGGCTGGGAGTGAGATCTGTCACCACAAGAAGGGAGAAGATATAAACAAGGCCATTGGAAATTGTTGTGAATCAGACAGTGCCTTTAATTTGTGCCTACTACTCTCTTCTGACTCTACCCTTCCTTCTAGTTATCTCTTTTTCTCCCAGAAAAAATTTCTTTAAAGAGTAGTCCACACTGGCTGTTCTCACTTTTTTTTTTTTTTTTTAAATCTCCCACTCAGTCTTCAACCCATTGCTGCACCACTGCATTGCTTAAGTCAGAGTTGGGTTTCTATCACTTGCAACTTAGGAAAGTGTTTGAGAGTATGAGTACAACAGAAAGATCCCAGGAGAGGCAGAAAGGGAAGGAATCAAGAACACAAGTGGAAGTTGGGCTTTGGAAAGCAGTAGTAACTCTCCCTTCTGATGATAGGAGACAAGACGTTAGAAAGACTAGAGATATAGCTAAGTGTGGAGAGCAGGGACATTGTTGAGATTTTACCTGATGGTCTCTATGGTCTTTGAGGGTAGAACAGGTTACCTGCCAAGAGTGCATGATGGTCAGAGAGAGGCAGGGGTTCTTGGGGAGAATGATGAAGGTTGGGTATGATAATGAGGGGAGAGTAAACTGAGTAGGAAGGGTCCAAGATGACTCAATGTATTTGAAGCTATATGATTCCTAAATGTTACAATATGTTTTTCCCATAAGTGCAGAAGGGGAGAAGGCCAGGGGGTGGGCTGATTTAGATTAAGGGATTGGCAGGGCAAGAACAAGTAGTTATGGTTATCAATGAGGGAGGGGTGGAAATGAATCATCATATGGTCCAGACTAGAAAGGGAAATAAATGAAGTAATGAGAGGCTGATAGATGGAGAGAAGAGCAAGATCGTTGAAGACTAGAGATTTTCATTGACTTGAAAAGCAAGAAAGAAGGAAGTCAGATCTTAGGAAGCTATTGTCTGTTAAGTGTCTCAATCTCTGACCCAGCTCCACGAATGTTTGTTTGTTCTGCTCTAGAGACAGGTTCACTTAGAACCATAGTATCACAGAATCACAGGATATTAGAGGTAGAAGGAAATTTAGAGACCATTTGATCCAGTCCACTCTATGCAGGTTCTTTCATTAATTCATCAACTTTGAGCCTGGAGGAAGATAACTGCTCACATTCTGTAAGCCCCCTCTCTGCTTGGAATCAAATGAGAAATAAGGCACAAGAGTCAGATAGCTGGAAATTAAAATAACTTTATAATAGACAAAGTGGATTTGAGAATGTGGTTTAGAATGTGTAGTCACATCTGGGATTCCTAAGTCTTTGTTCCACAATCAAACTTATCCACCTAGCACCTAGAATACTCCCTACCTTGCAGGGCAAGACCAGCCTGGATACATTTACCATAAAACAAGAGGAGAGGAGGGAAGCATAGGCAGTTCCCAGAAGGAGAAAACCGAGAAGTATCTGGGTCATGACACATGTGCATTTTCTCCCCCAAATTCCCAAGCAGATGAGCTAGGAAGGAAAAAGTGAGGAGGTGGAGAGGTGGGCAAAGAGTACTTTTCTCAAAACTTTAGAAAGCACCCAAAAGCCAAGTGCACTGACATTGAGTTGATTCTGACTCACAGTGACCAAGCCACAGTGACTCCCATTGGGTTTCCAAGGCTGTAAATCTTTACAGAGGTAGATTGCCCATGAAACAGCTGGTGGATTTGAACCCCTGGCCTTCTGGTTAGCATCCAAATCCCTTACACACTATGCCACCAGAGCTCCTTTAGAAAGGATAGAAGCTCCTATTTTATAAAGAAAGGTGAAATTGCTTACAGGGACAGAGATGGGTTTCCTCCAACAAGCCACCACTTATTAAGTGACAATTCTGCTTCAAGAGAGGTGAAGTGACTTTCCCAAGGCCACACATCTCTGAGGACAGAATAAGGAAGGTGCTCCAGACTCCTAACACAAAGGTTTTACCATTTCACACTTAGCAGTTCAGTGTCATTCAAGGTCATCAGTATAATGGTCAGAAACAAGACTCTTCTATGCCATCATTCAAGACGCCTTCAAACCCCTTCCTCCATTACCACCACTTCCTCTGCCACCTCCATCTACTCCCCTACTACTACACACTGCCATTTCCACCACTAACACCTCCACCTCTACCAGCATCTCCATCATTGCTACCACCTCCCTGGGGTGAGCGAGCACCTTTCAGAGACACCTTGGGAGAAGAGGAAGGTGTGAACTGGTAGGCTATTCAAATGGCTCTGGTCTCTAGAAGTCTCCAAAGTCTTTGAGATTGAAGTCTCCCAGCTCTTAGTGTCCCCTGACTACCTCCCAACCCCAAGAAGATCATATTGGAGCATTTTATGAAGATTGAGATAAAGATACACAAACATAAATACATACATTTATACAAACTCATTGGCCACAAGTACAGATTGCCACAATTTCTAATGTACGCTCTTCTGATTTCTAATGACAGCTCTGACAGCTGTCAATGTGATAAGATCCATTAGTAGTATCTCGGCAATGCTTCAAGCTCTAACAACGTAAAGGCTGAAGATACTCAAGTGAGCTATAATTTTGGGTGCCAGACAGCCGGGATCAATCACCTCAATATATAACACCAGGCCCAAACTCTGAAGGCTCCTGAAAATGCCACCCCCCAGACCTCAGTTTTTCCCTCTTTAAATGAGAGACCCTAGATCATCTCTAAGACCCCATCTTGTTCTAATGTCCTTCTTAGACAGCGTCCAAAAAGAATTTGTGGTGAAAAAAAAAAAAAAAAAACCCCATGTGGTAAGATAAATCAGCATTTTCAAACCAAGGCTGGAACATACTATTGCCATAAGAAGATCACCAAGTTAAAATCCAGTAAGAAATAGAGATGTCTACTTATGATGGCGGCCAGCTGTGTTCAGCCCCTGCCCTACTCTGGTCTTTCAGCCAACCAGGCATCTCTCCCTGACCCTGCCTTGGTCACATGGCTAACCGCCACTGAGCCCCAGAAGTCAATCTCCAATGCCCCAATTACTGTTCAGTTTGGAAATCACAGAGTGTGCTTCTTGCCACCCAACAGGAACACAGCAAGTGACTCAGGCCTTCCTTGGATTTGGCATCCTGGTTTCCAGTACCAAGAACGTGAAGGTAAGTTTGCAGCTCGGAGCTTCAGAGATAAAAGATAAAGCTATGTAGACAGGGGAGATGTGCTTTATAGAAGGAACACAGAGTATTTACGAATTAGATTCACAGACAAGGAAAAAGAAATTACCAGGAAAGCTGGATAAATCTTGCAAATGAACAGTAGGTATTTGCCTTTCCTTAAAAAGTATACCATATCAGTCACCTGGTGTCTTGAGCTCACTCTAAATTAATCAAAACGCTGAAAGACTCCTTCCCTAACACCCTAGTGAATTAGTTCTAGCTTGTCTTCATCTGATGGAATTGGGACTCTTTCTCTTCTGGCATGTACATTTCTGTTGCCTTTGCCAAATTTATGGGACTCGCTGAGATATTTATGAAGTAAGCAAAAGACCTTGAAACTTGCCTCTTCCCCAGAAAACTGTAGGAAAATAGATGACATCTATTAATATGACATTATGGGATAGAAACCAAATCATGACTAGGCTCCTTTTGTTACATGCTTTTGTTGTTTTTAGTTTTTGGACAAAGTCCCTGGTTTTGTTATAGGTAGTTTGGTTAGGGATGTTTTGTTTGTTTGCTTTGTCTTTCTCTCCTGGGGCAGGTACAGGTGTTTCAGTCTGCAGGTCCAGAGGCAATGGAGAAGCCATTGATTGGGAGGGTGGCGTTTCCCTGGCTTCCCACCTAACTTTCTAAAGCCTAGCATGACTGCACGTCATTCTTGTCAATTCTGTTCACAATATGATCCTACCTGAGCCCTTGGGGAGACCCTTTTCTGAAATATTTTGGACTTCCAGAGGGATCACTGAAGATATAAAGGTCAAATGGCTTAAAGGATGAAGAGGGAGACAAAGCTGCCACGTGGCTGACTAATGAATGTGGCATAAACTTTTTTCCAGTTAGTTTCCTTCCAGACACATGGATATATAATCTAGAGGATTTAGCACAATACTTTGCCCTTCTTCTTAATAATTAAGCCATTTTGTTCCCCTTGTTTCCAGTGTCTTGTGTAAATATGTGGAACAAAGTGGATGGTCAATAAGGATTTGTTGAACTGAATTGCTGTGCCCTTGTGGATGGCGAGGAGGGGGTTTTTAGCAGCAGGTGATCAATCACCAAGGTTTTGATGGTCAAAATATGCTGCACATCCATAAATCTGGCTATTGCCCTACCTCCTTGCTGCACTGGAAAGAAAGGCTGCCAGGCAGGGGCTGATTCATTAGTGTGATGCTCTGGTCCTTGGCCTAACAGACTTGAGGTGTTGATTTTGTCAGTGGAATTTTGTTCTCAGGGATACCAGATGTGATTCCAGGCTGGTGTCAGGGGCAGGAACTGGAAAGGGAAACGTAAATGATCAAACATCTTACATGTTTTGCATGTATGACTTAATTTCATCTTCCTTCTTTCCTCCCTCCCCCGCCCTTGCTTTTTCTCTCTTTGTGGTTCCCTGTGATCACAACTACACCCCACAAGTTTCAATATGTACTAGTTGAAATGTTGAGTTCTAAATATGTAATAATTTTCATGTAGTTTTCTGTTAAACTCATGATTAGAAATTGTTTTTAGTTTCCAAAGATACATACAGCTTTTAATTTAATTTTTATTTATTTATTTTTGCTATTGAGTTATGGTATAGATTCTTTGAAATTTACTGAGGCTTTTCTGTGACCTGGTTGGTATATGTAGTCTCCTTGTAAATGTTCCATTTGTACTTGCAAAAGAGGTATATTCTCTGAGATCGTGGGCTTGACAATTTCTCCTTGAAATCCATTTCTACATTGTGAGGCTATGTTCATCTTTCACTTTCTAGTCATGAAGGTAGAGGAGGAGAAGGTTGGGGTAGTAAAGCTGGACCCCACTAACTACAGGAGGAGAAGTCGGAATCCAGAAGGTAAGGCTATTTTGATGAAGATCCCAAGAGGGACTGAGTGTGCCTTGGGCAACTCTTCCAGCTGGAGAATACCAAGTCCCTCTGCTGATCACCCCCAGTGTTTCCTCCAGATCTGGTGAGAGAGCCTTCACCTTGTCTTACAGGGACCACATGGTCGGGATGAGACTGAACTGGCACTCTGTGGTATGGATTAGAGCATAGCTTTCCCCAGCACAGAACAAACTCTCCTCATTTTACAAGATCTATGAACTATAATAGAGTCTAAAAAAAACAACAGCACAGTTAAAATCAGTGCAAGAGGGTGTCAAGTGGGAATATTTTTCTTGCTCCACAATTGCTACCCAAGGCCTCAAACTGAGGCTTCAGAAACCCTGAGCTTCCTACGTTCTCCAGAGAAGCAGGCACAGGGCTTGTGAAGTGGCGAGCCCAGGGGGCTGCTGCCCCAGCAGCACCCCAGCATCACATGGTGGGAAACACTAAGCTTACTGCCCAGGTGGACTCTTGCTGTGCTGCAGAATGTGTAGAGCACCTCCCTTCTGAGAGGAATGTGGTGAGGAGTTGCTGGGAGAGTGTGGCTTGTGTCCTGAACGAACTCTGCAAGATGTTCACAATGGGAGAAGTCCCACAGAGTGAGAGTGAGAATCCAGCCTTGGGGAAGGGAACTCCTCACAAAGGTTTACCAGCTAAACATCCATACTGTGATGATTGTGTTAAGACTCAGGAAAAAATACAGCACGTTAGAGCCAGGACAGAAAGTAAGCTAATTCCCTGACATATTATTTTCCTAATACCTCCTGATTTTTTTTAGTAATAATACACTGTGTGTATTTGAAAAAAAAAAAAAAATCTAACCAGTTGCCATCAAGTAGACTCCACCTAGTGCCAGAGTAGAAGTGTGCTCCACAGGGTTTTTAAGGCAGTGATCTCTGGGAAGTAGACTGCCACGCCCTTCTTACAAGGCACTTCAGGGTGGATGTGAATTGCCAAACTTTTGGCTAGTAGCCCACCACATAACTGCTTGCACTGCCCAGGGACTCCTTTTGTATGTATAAATCAAAAAAATCTAACCCATTGCCTTTGAGTCAATTCCGACTCATATTCAAGCTACCCCAGAGCAGTGGTTCTTAAAAGTGTTACTGCCATCTGCTTAAGCAGGGCAGAAGATCTTCCCACTTCCTTACCTCACCCATTCTCACTTCCCTTCAGGAAAAACAAAAGAAAGGAAGAAAAGAAGGGAGGGAGGGAGGAGTGAGGAAAAGACAAGAACAAGAGAGGAAAGGTCCAAGAGAGGAAAGTAGTTTTAGTGGATATAGATTATTCACGTTAGAGCCTCAATGTCAGAACATTATAAGTCAAAGACATTGTTGGTGCAAATAATCATCACTATGTATTGTAGAATTAACCAATCAATCCATGGCAAATAAAAGACTTCCACCCTAAAGCTAAATTAGCAGATATTTATCATTAAAAAGAGTGAATAGCAGCAATGGAAAATAATGGCCAACTCAAGCCAACACTCGACTCAAGGGCACCACAACAACAAGCCAACACTATTGCTAAAGCTGAAGCAGAATGTCCTTGCTCAGAGCTGAGGGGATTCCAGCTGCCTCTGTGTGCACAGACCTCAGGGGGTCTTTGTGTGTTGCCCAGGGATAGTAGAATACTGCTTAAGAAGGCCTGGTAACTCTAGTTCATGAAAATTTTTGGCTTAAGCTTAACAATTTAAACTTTGAGAAATACTTGGTAGTTTATTGAGGATAAGAATCCAAGTAATTCTTGGGTATTAGTAACAATGGCAGTTGATGGAAAAGCATACAACATTCCCACAACAGCCAAAGAGAGGACTGGGCATTTTGGAGTAAATCTGTGACCAACTGAGGCTCTCTCTTCTAGACTTTGGTCATCACTGCTCTGGGCAAACAATAATGGGCAGATGGGAGCTCTGCTCATTCTAATAGAATTTTAACTGTAGTACCAAGGGTATCTATCCATTCTAGCAACTGCTGAGTTGGTACAGAAATGGGATTCTGTCAAGCCAACACTTGGGGAAGTGGCCTTGTCTAGTTATTCCATGTCTCCTGTTTGCTTCTGGGGCATCACCATGTCTTTGTCAATGGCAAGGTTAAAGTGAAATGCCCGTTTTCAGTAACTCTGCCTCCACTCCACATCTCCTTTTGTGCTGTGCCCACAGGCTATCGTTCCATCAGCATGGGGCTTCCAGTTCCCAGTTACTCTCAGAGAAAAAGAGACCAGAAAGAACATCTGTCCAGCCTGCAAAAAGTCCACTGGGGGCTGCGGCCAGACAAACAGCAACAGGAGCTGACCAGTCCCAGGAACAGAAGCAGCAGCAGGAACAGTGGAGCAGACCCCATCAGCAGGGCCCGTGAGTTCTTGAGGGTCAAGGCAGCATTCTGGGGAGCCATCCCCACTGGTAGATCCAGACAGAGCATGGCAGGGCAGGGGGATCACCTGCAGAGTGGGGGTCACACCCCACTGGCCCAGCCGCTCAGGCCCCCTCTGCTCTGCTTCTGTCGCTGACCCACCTCCCTGCTCAAGGACACCTTTAGTCAGGCTGAAGTTCTCTGTCTCTTTCTGGTAACTCCGAGACCTCTACTCTGAACCATTCTGTCTCGATTTCACAGTTTAATTCTCAGAATTATTCCCCTCATTCCCAAATTCTGAGGGCCCACATAGCCGTTGCCCCTAAGAATCAACAACAAACATGACTGCGTGGCATAAGGCATTACGCTCAGTCAACTGAATTCCCTGTTCTATTACTTCCTTCCCTTCTCCTCGCATGAATTTGAAGGAATGAGACATAATTATCCAGTCATCCTGCATCATAGCCTGCAGAACCCTAGGAAGCTTCATCCTAGCACATCAAAGCCACCAAGTCCTTCCTCCTCTGTTACTGCAGAAACCAGTGCTAGAATAATTGAAAATCAGTCTTTTGTTCCTTCCTGTGGAAAGAAAATTATCAGTCTTAAGAGGAATGAAAAGCACAACAAACTTTAGAGCACAACTGTGACATTTTCTAGACTTTACTGGGGAGCTCTGGTGGCATAGTGCCTAAGGCATTTGACTGCTAACCAGAAAGAAGGCTGGTGGTTCAAACCCACCAGCCACTCCTCAGAAGGAACATTGGGCAATCTATTTCCGTAGCGATACTGCCTCGGGAACCCAAGAAGAGGTCAATGGCAGTGAATTTTGTTTGTTTGTCTGTTTGTTTTAGACTTTACTGATGTTTCTGGGAACATGATTTCTTCCCTAGGATATCTCCAATCTGTACAACAAATGGTATTTAATTGGTTTTTACCACATATTTACACTTTCTCTTTTTTTAAATTTTAATTGTGATTTGGGTAAAAGTTTACAGAGCAAATTCACTTTCCACACAGCAGCTCACATACACTTTGTATCATGACATTGACTGCAATTTCCCACAAAGCAATAGTATCCCTCCTACTTCCTCCCCATAGTTACCTCTTCCCTGTGTCCTTCTTTCCCATGCACTCCTACCCCCCTGAGCTATCTCCCTGTTTGTACACAGTCCTTCTATTCTCCCATGATTGATCTCTCTGAGGAGTATATCTACCTAATGTAAATGTTCAGCTCACATGCCTGTCTTTTGGTCTTTTGGAAGCCACAGGAGTCAGTTCAATTCCAGACCTGAAGAGCAGCTAGGGGCCATAGTCTCAGGGGTTCTACCAGGCTCTATCAGACCAACAAACCTAGGCCCTTGTTTTTCTTTATGATTTTGAATTTTGTTCCACATTGTTCTCCCACTCTATCCAGATCTTCTACATAGATCCCCTCTGAGTGGTTGACAGTGGTAGCTGGGCACCAACTAGTTCTTCTGGTCTCATAGTCATATAGGCTGAGGATCACATGGTGTACCAGTCACTTGGACTAATTGTTTCTGTGTGTCTTTGGTTTTCTTTGTTCTTCTTTGCTCTGGATGAGGAGAGACCCATCGTTGCATCTAGATGGCCATTTGCAAGCTTTTAAGATCCCAGTTGCTACTACCAAAGTAGGATTGGAACAACGTTTTTGTGTAGTATGTTATGCCAATTGAGTTTGATGTCCCCTGTGACTCTGGTCCTGAGCCCACAGGTCCAACTACTTGCTCCCTCTGGGTAGCTAGCTGTGGCCAACTTTGCCCCTTGTCAGCTCTACTATATACTTGGGGATTTTTACAGAACATACAAATACACTTGTAGAATCATTGTTTGCCAACTCTGTATGTTGTCTTGGGCACACTCCCCTCTGCATGTTGTTGTTGTTGTTATGTGCCATCAAATTGGACCTGACTCATAGCGACCCCTCCTGGGGTTTCTGAGGCAGTATCACTATGGAAGTAGATTGCCCAACCTTCCTTCTGAGGAGTGGCTGGTGGGTTTGAACTGCCAGCCTCCTGATTAGCAGTCAAGTGCCTTAGGCCCTACACTACCAGAGCTCCTCCCCCCTGCATAGACATACCTAATAGTTCAGCCTGTCTGCCTATATACCCATCCAAACATATCAATGTTTGCCTTCACTGACAATGCATTCTGTATGTACAAAAGGGTTCACCTCATCATGTCTTCCTCTTCCTCAATGCCACCATGTTTGATCACTCACATTTGGTACATTGTCCTTCTCTTCACCCAAATCAATACTTGTCTCTACCTATCTAACAGTATATTTACACTTCCTTGAGCAAGGCAAAATGAGTTCCTCTTACCATCTAAACTTTTAAAGGAGTGTCAGAGGCAGTGACAGTGTCTTAGCATCCCAATAGGAGGAGACTGACATACTTCCTCCCAGAGGCACTCTGAACCACCCCATCCTCAGCTGCCCTGTCCTCCTCTCAGGGACACTGAGTCCACCAGGATCTGTAGCTTTTCCAGAGTAAGTGTGCTGATGTGGGAGATGGGTTAATGAGGAGTCCTTTGGAGGAGTCCAGTGTAAGAGATGGGCTCTGATTAAAACATGCTCACATGCACATACATTCACACAATGTTGAAAGATAGGAGCATCAGAGACCAGGAGGAGAGGAAGTCTGGTAGGAAACCCTCCTGCTCCCCATGAAATGGTCTCTGGAGTATTCCCCTGTCACCCCACTACTTCCCCCACATTCAGGGTAAGGGGTCAGTGAGGCAGAGAAGTGGAAAATGGTTTAGAGTTGGTGCTCTCTGCTCAAAGGGTTTGGAGGCGTGACAGGTTGAATCACAGAAATGTTTATGCACGGTCAATTATGGTACTTTGGTGGTTCTGGTGTATGTAAGGGGACACTGGTTTTAAATGGGAGGCAAAGGGGAGACAATATAGAATCCTTCATGTACAAATCTCTTCCTTCATATCCTGCTGTGTCTGTGGTTCCCAGACTATATGCGCCTCTGGCTTGACCCTGGCACGGCTGTGGAACAGGGGAGAGAGAACAGGAAAGCCATTGAGGACAGAGAATTTCAGGCTGTGTCTCTCAAGTTGGAGTAAGTTAGCTGGTTACTGTCAAGTTGGCTCCAACTTCTGGTGTCCCCCATGTGTGTCAGAGAACTGTGCTCTGCAAGGTTTTCAGTGATTAATTTTTTGGAAGTAGATTGGCAGCGTTTTTTTCCATGGTGCCTCTGAATTTGAATTGCCGAACTTTCAGTTAGCAGCTGAGTACTTAACCGTTTATGCCACCTGTGGATTCCAGAGTAAAGTAAGGATCCCTTTTAAAGGGGAAATAAATTCTTGTGGACCCACAAAAATGCATTGTAATTTATAGCGCCCCAGGGGCCATATACCCCAGATTGGAAAAAAAAAAAAAATCTTAATTAACTAGAGTTTATTCTATGAAAATGTCTTGTAATTATGAATTATGACAGAAAAGTTTTGCTCTTAGAGCTAATAAAAGAAATATTTTTGAAGATCATCATTAAAATAGAAACATAAAGCTTTAAAATTCAGGTAGAATCACATACCCGTAAGAATACATTAAGGAGCTCTGGGTAGCATAGTGCCTAAGGCATTTGACTGCTAACCAGAAGGTTGGTGGTTCAAACTCACCACACTCTGCAGAAGGAAGACTGGGCAATCTACTTCTGTAAAGATTTACCACCTCAGAAAACCAAAGGGGTCACTATGAATCGGAATAGACTCAATGGCAGTGAGTTTGGTTTGTTTTTTTGGAAGAATACATTCAAGAACCCAGCTTAAGGGAGTCACAGAGCCCACCAGCAAAGCCTACAGCCCTGGTGACTCTTCTGTGGCTCATGGGGACAGAGTCTGTGCTGCCATTCTCCATGGGATGGTAGAAGGCTTACCTGCCAGTCATTCAATTTTCTCAAGAAAACTGGGGCATTGGATGTATAATCCATACACAAGCCCTGTGCCTACTGTGTCACAGTGACTTGCAGGAAGGAAGTTAAAACAGGGCAGAAATCATTTTACTTGCGTTGTTGGGTTATTTGCTTGGGTCACCCACATTTTCTACTTATAGGACATCTGACAGTATGCTTTTCCTCTCTGAATGCTCCATCATTCTCTGAATCCACTCAGACAGCTCAAGTAGGGGGTCCAGTGGGCCCAGCCACATAGCCCAAGCAGGAACACCCACTATGAAGGAAAGGGGCATCCTGCAGAACTGTGGGAGTGTCTGGACATGACTGGGCCCAAGCATGAGGTAGGCTGTGCAAACAGAGAATGAGAGAAGACGGTCTCAGGTCCTGCCTCATAGAATTACTATGGCTAGGCTCATACATGTTGTCATGTGTGACAGTGTGTGTGGTGAGGCTTTGTGCCTGTGAAAGTGTTCTGCAAATGGTAGTTCCTTATAATTTTGTCAAACAAACAAATAGTATTAATAGCTGTGGGAAGAAATGCCTGGTGATCTGCTTCTGAAAGACCACAGCCATCGAAACCCTGTGGAGCATAGTTCTATTTTGCACCTATGGGGTTGCCATGAGTCAAAATTGACTCAGTAGCAACTGGTTTGGTCCAGTATTAGTAATTATAATATAAATTTGAAGCTAATGCCGGGTAACTCACTTTTTGTGTCACAAACCAAACCTGTTGTCATACAGTTGATTTTGATTCATGGTGATCCCATGTATGTCAGTAGAACCACCCCATAGAGTTTTCAATGACTATTATATTATGGAAGTAGATCACCAAGCTTTTCTTCCATGATGCCACTAGGTGGATTTGAGCCACTGACCTTTCACTTATGTATACTCTAGGGTTCCTACCCACCAGGATAGTTTTGAAATATAAGTCTGATGCCTTACAGGGCTCCTGACACACTATGTGTGGAATGGGGCTTTGAAGTCTGTATTTTTCTTTGAAAATCTATAGTGTACCCCTAGTTAAAGATCCACTGTCCTAAAGAAATTTGATGCTTCTTTGAACCACATACCAATC